GCGCTGGCTCTTACATGGGCCTCTCCCTGGGGCTGCACCACAGCCTGGTGGCTGGGTTCCCAGAGCGGTGGTGGAAATTGCCAGTCTCTTAGGGCTTATGCCCAGAAACTGTCGTGGCACCACTCCCACCATGTTTTTAGTCAAAACAGTTGCAGAGGGCACCCTAATTCAAGGGGAGGGGACATAGACCTCACATCTTGATAGGAGTTGTCATAGAGCTGTTGGCCATTTGTCTACCACAGTGCCTCACAACAGAGGCTGTTGGGCACTTCTTTTCCTGATAGACTGACTTATTTAACACCATTAAACATGGTTGGTGTTAAGGGGCTCATCTTATGTTTTTCTGTAGTTGCTTTGTTTCTGAACGACAGTGGCAGATTATAACACACTGAACATTCTGAGATATTGTGTTTTTCTTTAGTAGGGCTTTTCTGCATTTAATTAATTTATAATGATTTGGAATGACTTGAGAACTTGGTCTGAGATAGTAGCATCTCAAAGAGAATGAAAAAGCAGGTGACACACTTTTGGAAGATTCTGCGGTTTGCGGGAAGCCTGGGGCTTTGTCCAGAAGAGCAGGCAAATCAGTCTTATTTACGCAGAACTGGGAAAGCCGTGAGCCGCTCTGCTGGCCCTCTCCGCCCTGCTTCAGCACATCTGTTGCGTGCTATTTTTTATTTAAGGCTTGATGGATTGGTCGTGTGATATACTTGGATTAAATACTTGGGCTAAAGCATCTCATATATTTGCCCATCAACTTCACTTTGTAGATTTACATTCTGTCTGGGATGCCAGATTGAATTAAATGCTTTCTTAAAGCCTGCAGTCTGACAGAAACCATTCCCCAGTCAGCACTTTTACCATACTTAAGAAAATAAGCATCTGCAGTGAAATGATGCAGCCTCTGGTTTCTTTTCTAGGGAAGAATCCAATTTGGCTTGTGGGGATGACGTGACTGGTCAGAGCTGAGGGTCCCCAGCTAAAGCCTGGTGAGGGCCGATGCTCCAGACTCCGGAGCTCTCCTCTTCCCACCTGGAGTTATCCTACCCTGCGTGGGTCACAGGGAGTCTGGTCTGATGCAGTGGATTAGCACTGTTTGAGGGTGGGTGCCTTTTGTGTAATCAGCGTTTCAACACACGTCGCTGTCCTCCTGTGGGAACCACACACTTTCCTAGGTTTGAGAATTGCTTGGTCTCAATTTCTTGTCACCCAGTGTTCACATGAAGGAAGCGCATAGGGATGGTGATGAGGAAAGGATTGCTTTAATTACATGATATTTAGAGGATGGCTCAAAGGAACTGGGTTTTCAAAGCACCGCACCACTGACTTGCTGTGTAATCGTTCTCAGCCTTTGGCTCCTCATCTGTAAAATGGGGATGGTAATATCTACCTCTTAGGGTTGTGGTGAGAATTAAATGAATGCAGGTAAGCTGTTTAGTGCATGTATTAGTCATCTATTGCTGTGTAACAAATAACCCCTCAAATTAGCAGCTTGAAACAACAAACATTGTCTCTCAGTTTCTCTGGCTCAGGAATCAGAAAGCTGCTTAACTGGGTGGTTCTGCTCAGGGTCTTTCACAAGGCTGTGTTCAAGGTGGTGGCCAGAGCTACAGTCATCTGAAGGCTGGACTGGAGTAGGATCCACTTCCAGGCTTACTCACNAAAATAAGCATCTGCAGTGAAATGATGCAGCCTCTGGTTTCTTTTCTAGGGAAGAATCCAATTTGGCTTGTGGGGATGACGTGACTGGTCAGAGCTGAGGGTCCCCAGCTAAAGCCTGGTGAGGGCCGATGCTCCAGACTCCGGAGCTCTCCTCTTCCCACCTGGAGTTATCCCACCCTGCGTGGGTCACAGGGAGTCTGGTCTAATGCAGTGGATTAGCGCTGTTTGAGGGTGGGTGCCTTTTGTGTAATCAGCGTTTCAACACACGTCGCTGTCCTCCTGTGGGAACCACACACTTTCCTAGGTTTGAGAATTGCTTGGTCTCAATTTCTTGTCACCCAGTGTTCACATGAAGGAAGCGCATAGGGATGGTGATGAGGAAAGGATTGCTTTAATTACATGATATTTAGAGGATGGCTCAAAGGAACTGGGTTTTCAAAGCACCGCACCACTGACTTGCTGTGTAATCGTTCTCAGCCTTTGGCTCCTCATCTGTAAAATGGGGATGGTAATATCTACCTCTTAGGGTTGTGGTGAGAATTAAATGAATGCAGGTAAGCTGTTTAGTGCATGTATTAGTCATCTATTGCTGTGTAACAAATAACCCCTCAAATTAGCAGCTTGAAACAACAAACATTGTCTCTCAGTTTCTCTGGCTCAGGAATCAGAGAGCTGCTTAACTGGGTGGTTCTGCTCAGGGTCTTTCACAAGGCTGTGTTCAAGGTGGTGGCCAGAGCTACAGTCATCTGAAGGCTGGACTGGAGTAGGATCCACTTCCAGGCTTACTCACATGGAAGCTCTTAGTTCTTTGCCATGGGGCCTCTACATACTGGATGTCCTCTTGACATGACTGGTGGCCTCCCCCAGGGACTTGAGAGAGAGAGAAGGGGGCGGGGGAAAGTGCAGTCTCTCAGTGGATGAGTGCGTCTTTTTAATAACTTAATCTTGAAAATGACCTCCTGTCATTCTGATGTATTTTATTTGCTAGAAATGAGTAATGAAGTCCAGCCCACACCCAACAGGAAGGAACTAAGGTCCTCTTCTTTGGGGGAGAAATATAAAAGAATTTGTGGACATATTTTTAAAACCACCATAGTACAATTCTGGCCATGTAGAAGGTAATAAACCATTAGATTAGCAGATAAACTCACTTCTTGGTGAGTTCATGTCTAGGCAGCTTTTAGGTACAGCCCAATTTTATCAGATAAAAGGAATTGGGGCTCTACAGTGGATTGGAGATGACACCCAGGAGACCTCCATAAAATAACGGTTTCAATCTTTCATTTTCTCTCTCATGGAAGGGAAGATTCTTCCAGAGATCTCTGCTGTGCTGGGTCAGTCAGTCCAAAGACCCTAGAGAGGAACACACCCCACTTAAAATTCACTTCTCTAGACTGAGAACATTCTCTCCCCCAGCACTTGGTGCAGTGTCTTCCCAGCTGGGGAGATGGGATGATACCTTGGGCACTGCCTGGACCAAGAGGGCAGCGCATATCCTCTGGGAAGGGCTCCAGTTCCACTCTCCCCCAGCAATTTTAAATTCTAAAAACATGTGATTAAAAAAAAAAAAGTATTTATTTCGCTATAGAGTGTAACTCCAAATTTGGACAAAAGGAGAAAAAAGCAACATTTAAAAAAAGACCTCTGCAAACCTAACACAGCCACAGATGACATCTGTGAGGCTTCCTTCCCGTAGCACGCGGGTTTCTGTTTCTATCTAGTTTAAAGAAGCTGCAACTACAATTTCATATCCTGCTTTTCACTTAACGTTAATTCACATGTATTTGTTTTACACCATCTTTCACCACATTTTAGAGTTTTTGAGAGCTGTGTAATATTCCATGGGGCGAATATACCATAGTTTACTTAACTTCATTTTTCTCATTTATTTCAATCAGTTCTATATATAATGATACTTATTATTTATTTTTGTTATATTTTGCTGTAATTATTTTTGCCCATGCTGTTTTGCCTTTTCATTTCTACAATTTTCTTTAAAAAAATTCATCTGGAATTAGTTTTGAAGTATAGTATAAAATAGAGTCTAAAATGTGATGCATTTTCTTTTCTAAATTACTAACCATTAGTCCAACATTATTTAGTGCATGGTCCTGCACAATCTTTTCCACTGGTTTGTGACTTCTTTTTAAAAATCACCTCCTTCTTACTTAGAATGGGGTCTGTTTCTGGTCTCTTATTTCACTGATTTGTCTACTTTGCACCAGTAACTTCGTAATATTTAAAAAAAAAAAAAAAGGAGGAATTAGTGAAGTCAGGCCGTGGTTAGAGGAGGAACTTGGTCCAGCGAGTCTTTAGTAATCAGGTAGGCGAGATGTGTATGAATAGAATGTGGTATCATGGATACAGTCCTAATGAAAAGACTTATTTAAAAAAGGTCTGGAAAGGAAGGGTGGGCTGATGGGCCCAATTTTGGTTTATCTGTAATCTGTATGACACAGCGAACCCAACACCCTGGGATTAGGGAGAGACCCTTAATTTGTAAGTTTTAGCTGCCAGCAAACTATGCCAATGGGTGGTGGGAAACAGAGTAATATACAGGTCTTGTAACATAGAAACCCACACCTGAAACCTGTATGTTCATATTAATGATTGTCACCCCAATAAATAACCCCCCCAAAACTATGCCAAGTATTGTCATGGGGTAGACACTACTGCCACAGGCTAAGGAGGCTGGAATTGAATTGTTCTAATTCCACAAGTGACTAGAGAGGGAGGCATCTGCAGACAGGAGGAGGGGGGCCAGGTAGGGAAAGGGATTTGAACCTAGCCAAGAGAATGGTCCCAGAAAATGGCTGTGGAGCCAGAAAGCCCGGGTCCCTCAAATTTGGAGTGGCTACACAAAGGGCTAGTAAGAACCAGTGAGAAAGCAATCACCTATGATTCTGGCCTTGAAAAATCACCATGATTATTTTATGTACAATGCTTTCCCATGGCTTACTCATAAACAGGACTAAAATGCCTGATGGGAAAGTAAAGAAAGGAACAGATCCCTGGTGAGGAAGGACAGTGAAGAACCAGAACCGCTAAGGGAACTGGAATTCATCATCGATATCATGTAAGTGTTTATATATGTCTCCGCACAAGCTGAGGAGGCACTTTACAAACAGCAGGTAAACAACCTCCCAGAGCATCTGCACTGCAAGACAGTGTGGGGGCCCGGCCGGCGTGGCTCAGTGGTTGAGCGTCAACCTAGGATCCAGGTGATTTGGGTTCAATTCCTGGTCAGGGCACATGCCCGGGCTGCGGGCTTGTTCCCCAGTCGGAGGCGTGCAGGAGGCAGCTGATCAATGACTCTCTCATCATTGATGTTTCTATCTTTCTCTCTCCCTCCCTCTCCTTTCCTCTCTCTGAAATCAATAAAGATATATTAAAAGAAAAAAAAAAGTGTGGGGATGGTTTAAATTTGATCGGCCTTGTGACGCGAGGCATTGTTCAGGATGCCAGAAGACAGGATGAAAGAAGAAAACAGAGATTGAAGATAAGTCAGGGAGTGCAGTCCAGGGAGAAAGCAGCTCTGAGTTCTGCTCAGGGAGAAACCTGCTTAGATTAGATGCTTATCTCTGCCTGATGACAGCCTGCTGGGCCCATGACCATTAGCCCAGCTCCCCTGCACTGCACCCCCCTTCTTGAAAACAGCGATAGGGGTGGGAGAGGTAGTGTGGTGTGGTGGGACAGGCTTTAAGGGACTGCTGGCTGGGATCCTGGGAGTCACCTAACCTCTCTGAGCTGGTGTCGTCATCAGGGGTAATAGTTCTACCTGCCCTACATGGTTAAGGACATTAGAGCTTCTGTTTTAAAGAACCAGCCACTAACCCTCATGCAGATGAGATGGGTTACACCTGTGAAATGCTCCATGACGGGTGGGATTAGGGCCCATTTGAGGAGACCAGAAGGAAAAGGGACCACTGAGGCCAGCCTGGTGCTCAGTAACAATTCACTTGTAGAGTAGCCCTGCTGTGGAAGGCGACTTCTACCTGGCCGAGGGTGCCCTTCTCTGACCTCACCTCCCACGTACCTATGGATCCAACAGGGGAGGAGACCACCACATGGCCGCCTTTAGCTCTTGCATGCCCTCTGTGGTTTTGGTGTGGTCATTGTGATGATCCGGGTGGTCTTTGGCAGTCACACGTCAGTGGGAGCATGGGGCTGTGGGGAGGAAGGCTGATTGTGGGCCTGGGTAGGAAAGACCTGCGCATCACAGCTCCTCCTTGTTGCTCTTGAGGGGCTGGACCAGGGGCCCTGCAGCCTGGGGCTGATCTACTGGCTCATGGTAGACAGGCCATTGCCCACTGTCCTCCCTGTGCCTGCCCGTAACACCATAGTCCTGCAGGAGCCCACTCTCCACTCTGTGCTGCCGGAGGCTTTTGGTTCCCACCAGCCCCTGCATCCTCAGGTACCCCTGCTGGCAAAAGGGGGGCAGCTTCTGGCGTGTTAAGGCGAACAGGAAACAGGACTCTACAGAAAAGCAAAAGGACATGAATGAGTTGGGCTGAGAAGTGTGGGGAGAGGTGCAGAAGGAGGAGCTGCCAGGGCCCCAGGGGCCTCCCCCAGGACCCCTACATCCCTGAGCCTGGGAGCTGGTGTTCCTGGGCATCTCACTTCTGACCTGAGCAGCCATGGAACTCAACCCTTCTGCGGTTCCAGAAATAGGCCGCCCCACCGTGGAAGACCGAGGCTCCAGAATGAAAGCAACCCCAGAAGCGATTCAGCTTCCAGAGATTGGCCTGCAAGATGCTCTGCCTGGGCCAGCCTGGGGCGGGGCTCAGCCAGCCAGGAGTGGACCTCAGTCCCATTTTGAGCTCAGAGCTGCCTGCAAAGATTTATTCCCTCAACAGTATTGGACTAGCAAACACGCATGTAAGCCCTGTTCTCAGCACTGTGGGTTATAAAGACAAACCTGGTCAATCATGTCTGTGATTTACCCTCGTCTGTGCCACAGCAGTTGATGCGTCAAACCTGACCAATCAGGAAATCATGTGGGGACTTTTTATTTAGAAATTGGAAGAAACTACCAGAAGAACTAGAAGTAGTTGCTTCCGGAGAGTGAGAATGGAGGTGGAAAAAAGCCTCTTAGCCAAGTATTATATAACTTTGATTTAAAAAATAGAAAAGGTTACCCTGGCTGGTTTTGCTCAGTGGTTAGAGAGTCGGCCTGCGGACTGAAGGGTCCCAGGTTTGATTCTGGCCAAGGGCATGTACCTCGGTTGCAGGCTCCATCCCCAGAGCTGGTTGGCACGTGAGCAGGAGGCAACCAATCGATGTGTCTCTCTCACATCAATGTTTCTCTCTCCCTTCCCATTTCTCTGAAAAGCCATGGAAAAAATATCCTCAGATATTTTGAGGATTAAAAAATAAAAATGAAACAATAAAAAATAGAAAAGATGAAACAGATATGGGCTCAGTCTTCTGAGGGATTGAGAGACAGGATGGGAAGATGGAGTGAGTGTCAGAAAATCAGCTTGTCTTTTACCTTAAAAAAATGGGCATACATGGGTGGGCAAAAGTAGGTCTAAAGTTCATATGGAAAAAGGCATGCAGGTTATGATTATTACAACAGCTTTATTAACTCAAAAGAATGTCACAATGCAACTGTAAACCTACTTTTGCCCACCCCTGTATCGCAAAGAATGTGAGGCTTACACGGGTGAACAGGCTGCCACACAAGTATTATTTCCTACTTCAGTTCTGACTTACAGCACAGAAGGTCCCTGGCAGAACAGGCCCTGACAATCCCCTCCAAGCAGGGAGGACAGCATGTGTGTGGGGAGGATGGTGGAGGGGCAGCAAGGTGGCCTTTTGGCAAGCGCCACCTTCTGATGACATGCATCGTCCTTCTGCAGGGGCAGGTGCAGAAAAGCCCAGCAGAACCTGGGAACAGAACTGGCAGCTGTACATCATCTAAGATTCTAGGGGGTGGAGAGAAAGTCCACCCTCTGCCAGCTGGCCCTCTGCCAGGCAGGATTCTTCCAACTTCAAGGCAGTGACACATAGTGGCTTGTACTAGTATCTAGGGAGTGGGTTTCCAACCACTAGGCCTCACTTGTGTGAGTTTGAGGCCAAATTGCACACTATCATTGTGGTACTAGTACCCAGGGAGTGGAGCCAGGAGGCTGAAGGCCTGTGAGGATGCGCTGGTGGGAATATGTTCCCTACCAGGCACCGGCATCTTTGTGCACTACTGAAATCTCGAGAAACAGACAGGGATTTTGTAGCTGAGGTTTCTAGATTTGTAACAGTTTCATGTGTAAGCATATCATTTATAGAATGCTAGTGCTCTGCTCTATGAATTACTCTGTTGGAGCATCTACCTATATTTAGACTATTAATTTAAACTACTGTTTTGCGCCATCTCCCTTAATATATACATTTTTATTTCAAAGTGGGCTGAGGATATCACCTGGGGATGAAACAAGAACACTTGCTCTCTGACCTGCAGGCTAGAGACTGACCGTCTCTAACCTGATTTGATATGAATAGTAACTTATATACAATTTGTTTTTAAGAGATGTTTGCTGAACAGAAAAGAGTGGATATTCTAGGCATTCAGTGGGTTAAAAAGACAAAAATTTTACCTGTTTCAATCAGTTCTCCCTCTGGATTAGACTTCTCTCCCCAAGTCCCTCTTTCGATTTGGCTATCGGAGCTATCTTCCAGTTCATCAATACTCTCTTCATCTCTAATTTGTTACTATATCTTTATGTTGAGTTTCCAATGACCAATTTATTTTTTCATTTCCAGAAGCTTTATGTGGACCTTTCTCAAAACAGCCCAGTCAACTGTATTTTCAACAATCTCATTTTCATTCCATCACATATTTTAGACAGACTTTATGTCCTCTATCTGGCCATACCAATTCCAGCAGCCTTTTGGTTTCATCCTACAGTTAGTTTGTGTTTCTGCTGACACTCTCTCAGGGTGGTTTGTGTCCTTATGTGCTAAGTGATTTTTGCTTGGGAGTTCATGTTCCTTGAAACTGTCTGTGGAAATTTTTTGAGGCCTAGTTTTAAAGTATTTCTTCACAAAAGACTTGCTATTACTTTTGTGATTTCTGTACCATGATAGTGTGCAGTTTGGCCCAAAACTTACACAAGTGAGGCCTAGTGGTTAGAAATCATCAGGGGCAATTTCCCCCTACTCTATCCAGAGCCAAAGAGCATGTGTCTCTACCATCTCTGTCTTGGGAGTGTTTTTTGCTTCCTACTTAGTTTACCCACTGAGATCCAAGCTTATTTGAAGGTCTCTAAACAGACTTCTCAACCTGCTCCAGCCTCACCTTCCTATCCACAGTGCTGGCTCAATTACCCAGACTCTAGCCTACTGATGACCAAAAGATAACCCATGCACAGCTTGTGTTTATGCTTTTCGTAGTATCTGGTTTCTGGAAAGTTTCCTAATTTTCCTGCCAGTTCCTTAAAAAAGACTTTTTATTCAGCATTTTCAGGCGTGCTCTACTGGGAGAGGTTTCTATGAACACCTAGTCCACCATGTTGTGGGAAATGGAAGTCTTGGGCTTGGGTTTCTAGATGTGCATCCTGAAATATCACAGGGCATGGATCTATCTGGTCTCTCTTCAATCTCTAGCTCAGTCCCTTTGCCCTTCTGGGAACTTAAGTTACCTGCATAGAAGCTTCGCAAATCGGTGTCCAAACAGTTCTCCAGGAAGCGCCTCAGAGGTAAAATGTGGTTCACTGGGGCGGTCCAGTCTGTCAGGAAATCTTCCACGATGTGGTGGATGGCTGTGGGTCGAGGCAGCAGCCAGTCTGCAGGGCGGAACCTCACCTCCTGCTCTGTGGGGAAGAGGCAGGGCTGTGTCAGAGCCTAGCAGCTGGGCTTCCCATCTTGGAGCCAATAGTGTGGTTCCCTCACATCCCCAATGCCTGCCTTGCTCACTCATGCTCGGCTTTCCTGGTACACCTCTGTGCTGGCTGTGGTCAGTGTGTTCAACAGCCATCTCCAAATGTTTGGAAGGTTATCATGAGGAAGCAGGACAAAACTAGACTTGTCCCTTGTGGTATCAGAAGGCAGAACTAAGACCAATCACTTGATGTTTCTCTAAGGCTCACATAGACTGAGGTCTGTTATGGGTGCTTCAGAATTGGTCTTTCTGTGAAAAGGCTCAGGTCCCACATCCAAAGGGGTCTTAGAGCTCATCTAGTCCAACTCCCACCTGCTGTGGGCTCCCTTCTGTGGTGTCCCTATCAGATGGCTCAAGTCATGACCCAACCACTCCTGTACTGGGAAATCCGACTCTAGGAGGCAACCCATTCCACTGTGGGGCAGTTCCATTAATTGTTCCTTATACTGGATATAAACCTGCGTTCCTGTCACTTCTGTTGATTCTACCTCTGCCCTTTTAAATTTTTTATTAAATTTATTTTATTGAAAGTATTACAGATGTCCTCCATTTCCTCCCCTTTATTCAGCCTCCCAGACCTCTGCCATTTTTTAGATCATCTTCTTCCAAGTGACAGCCCTTCAAGTCCTGAAGCAGGAGTGGGGTTCCCCCAAGTGGTTCATCTCTTGGTGGGCACTGTGCTGGCATTCTGTATATATTACCTCATTTATCCTCATACAAGGAAGGAAGGTACTGTTTTTGTCCCCATTTTATGAGGAAGCTGAGGCTCAGAGAGGTTAATAAATGGTCCAAGGTTACACAGCAAGGCAAGGACAGACCTGGGGGTACTTCCTAGCTATTCTGTACTCCACATTCCACTCCTGCACTAACCACTTCCAGTTCCTTTCCCTGTTCCTTCTAATTGTCTCCAGGTCCCCCCTCCCCACTCCATGGTCAGCATCCTTTGGAGACACACAGCAAGACAGTGCCCCTCTCATTACGTGCTGCCTGGAGATCATGCCACTCCGTGTGTGGCCCAACCTGGTCATAGTACAGGCCAGAATCTGAGAACATCATTTGCCATTCTTGGACCTTCTGTCCCATTTGGTCTCTGGGCAGAGTCCCCAGTGGTTCTCCTCTGTCAGCTGAGTGCTGTGTGAGGGACTAATGGTGACACCTCGATACACAGTGGGCCTGAGGAGTGCCTTCCTTAAGAAAGCCCACATGGGAGGGGAGGGAGGGAGAGTAGGGACTCAGCTCACCGGTGGGGAGGTGCCTGTAGTAGTAGATGACAGGGTGGAGGAAGTTAGACTGCCAGGCGTCTTCTGTGTACCCCACAGACCGGTCATAAACAAAGACATCCTTGTCGGGTCCAGAGAAATTTCTGCCATACTCCATGTTGATGACAAAGAGCCCGTGCCGGGCCTTCCTTCCTGTGATTGTCTCCAGCTGGGCCAGCATCTGCATGGGGAATTCCTCCAGGTACTCAAATGCTGTGGCATTCCTGGGGGTCATAGCAAATGGGAGGGCGAGACCTCAGTGCCGTGGCAGAGTAAGAGGCGTGTACATGTGGGCCTGTGGGTGTATGTGTCTCTCTCCCTCCAAGAAGCGACAGTCAAACAGGATACAGACTCGGGTTGGCCTCGCACATCTCACATTAACATCACTTACAGCTGAGCCCTGAACTACACACGTGCTGGATTCTGGAGAACTGAGTAACCTGACATGGCTACGGGCAGGGTGATCCAGGCTGAGGGAAGAGTAACAGGAAAGCTCCGGGACGGGGCGAATGCCTTGCTATGTTCAAGGACAGGAAGAAGGCCAGGGGCTGGAGTGGGCTTTGGGGGAGGGTGGAGAGGGGCTTCAGGAGGTCTTCGGGGGCATGTCAGGGAGGGCTTGTGTGCTCTGTGATGGGAACTTCTGGTTTCATCTGGACTGACAGCAAGCCACTGGGCTTGGGAGAGTTTTGAGCAGGGATGAATTCGTGTGACTCGTATTTTTAAAGTACATGTGCCCAGCCGGGCGTGGCTCAGCAGTTGAGCATCGACCTAGGATCCAGGCGATCGGGGTTTGATTCCCAGTCAGGGGCGGGCTTGATCCCCAGTCTGGGGTGTGCAGGAGGCAGCCAATCAATGACTCTCTCATCACTGATGTTTTGATCTCTCTTTCTTTCCCTCTCCTTTCCTCTCTCTGAAATCAATAAAGATAAATTAAAAAAAATAAATAAAGTACCACCCTGGCCACTGTGTTGAGAGCAGACTGCTGCTGGACCAGTGCATGTTAGAGATGCTGGTGGTCCGGACCGAGGGGCAGTGGCAGAGCTGGTGAGAGGTGGTCAGGGTCTAGATAACTCGAAGGTAGAGCTGACAGGATTTACAGATAGTTTGAATGTGGTGAGTGGGCGTGAAAGTGAGAGGCCGAGGATGACGGGAAGTGTATGACGGGAAGTGTCCGTGCTGAGCACTGCCCCCGCATTTCTTGCCCTTCCTTGAATTTGGTGTGTGTTATACTCCCTCAGGGTTCTTCCTCTGCTTCTCACCTGCCACCTGTTCTTTGAGGTCCTCCCCCTCCAGCCCTTCCGCACTGTTGCCTCTCAGGAAATGTCCCCTTACCACTTGACTGATACAGAGACAACTTGGTCCTAGCCCCAGGGAGCTCTTAAATCACACTGGTGTCACAGTTTACTGCTCATTTACCTGGTGCCAAATGCTTTCTACCAGTTACCTTTACTCCTTCCTGCAGTCCTGCAAGGTACGTGTTATTATTGCCATTTTGCAGATGAGAGAAAGGCCCAGAGAGGCTAACTAACTTGCCCAAGGTCACACAGGTAGAACGAGGCATAGTGCGGATTCATACTCAGGACTGTCTGTCTGCAGAGCTGGTGGTGTGGATTTCACTGATTTGTCTCCAGAATAAATCCATCTCCCCCACCCCACCCCCATTTCTCCTCAGGCTTCATCTTAGGAGGGAACCACTGGGCTGTTCCCCCCC